GTAGTAGTAGTAGTAGTAGTAGTAGTAGTAGTGGTAGTGGTAGTGGTAGTAGTGGTAGTAGTGGTAGTAGTGGTAGTAGTGGTAATAGTAGTAGTGGTAGTAGTAGTAGTATCAGGAGTAGTGGTAGTAGTAGTAGTAGAAGTGGTAGTAGTAGTAGTAGTGGTAGTGGAGGTGGTAGTAGTAGTAGTAGTGGTAGTAGTAGTAGTTGTTGTTGTAGTAGTGGTAGTGGTAGTAGTGGTAGTGGTAGTAGTGGTAGTGGTAGTAGTAGCAGGAGCAGTAGCAGTAGGAGTCTTAGTAGTAGTAGTAGCAGTAGTAGTAGTAGTCGTAGTAGTAGTAGCAGTTGTTGTTGTAGCAGTAGCAGTAGCATTAGCAGTAGCAGCAGCAGCAGCAGCAGCAGTGGTAGTGGTCGTGGTGGTGGTGGTGGTGGTGGTAGTAGTGGTGGTAGTAGTAGTAGTAGTGGTAGTAGTAATGGTGGTAGTAGTAGTAGTAGTAGTACTAGTACTAGTACTAGTCGTCGTTGTTGTTGTTGTTGTAGGAGTAGGAGTTGGAGTGGGAATAGTAGTAGGAATAGTAGTGGTAGGAATAGTAGTGGTAGTGGTAGTGGTGATAGTAGTAGTAGTGGTAGTGGTGATAGTAGTAGTAGTAGAAGTAGAAGTAGAAGTAGAAGTAGTAGTAGTAGTAGTAGTAGTAGTAGTAGTAGTAGTGGGAGTTAGTAGCATGTAGTGTGTGTGTGTAGCGTGTAGTAGAAGCTGCAGGGGCAGCAGCAGCAGCAGAGTAGTAGTAGTAGTAGTAGTAGTAGTAGTAGGAGTAGTAGAAGTAGGTAGCAGGTAGTAGGCAGTAGGCAGTAGTAGTAGTAGTTGTTGTTGTTGTTGTAGCAGTAGCAGTAGCAGTAGATTCGCAGTAGTTGTCGCAGTAGTAGTAGTAGTAGTAGTTGTTGTTGTTGTTACTGACTTACTTTACTTGGCAGCCACTGGCACGTTTACATTGCAATGCCAGGAAAGATGCACTTGCAAGCAGGACATCTGCAGTAGCAACTACTTCATAGGTGAGCAGCAGCACTGCCAGAATTTGCGCAAGTGAAAGCATGGCAATTGCAAGTTTACAAATAGCCGATCTGAAGCGCCAGATCGAGAAGTGCAACTGTAGATAAGTCATCGTCTATACAGTACATATCTTTATTTGTAAGCTTCCTGTTTTATCGTGCGCCAGTTTCTTTTGTAGTTATCTTTACTTGGTAGCTTCCTGATCTTTACTTGCAAGCTTCCCAAGTGGTGTGCTGCATAGTCCAGAACTGTCCAACCAATGGTTGACCCCCCAACATCTAGAAACATTGCTTAATTAAGTCAGGCACTGTAGACTTCCACCCTCGTTACATCATGTTTCTAAAGAAAGGAGAAATTAGGTAGGCGAAGCTACCTTTCCTGGCATGCTGCCAGGTTGCCAATATCTATAACTATTGGCTGCCGACAACAGCACATGATTCTTGAATCAACAATCACGTTTAACCGCAGTTCTTGCATGAAACGCTTCAACAACACGTGGCAACATGCCATGCAAAAAGCATGGCCTATGCATTAGCTAGGGGACCAGTCGCTATACCCTGGAATATGTGTTATTATTCCAGACCCCTTTGACATAAATGTTAAATAACTATTCCAGACGTGGATTAATTGTTGGAATAATGTTTCACTGGATGCACCCAAAAGTGTACGACACAGATTGGATTTTGAGCAAGCTCTGTGATGCGAGTGTTTTTGCTTCATGTTTTTTGGCATCTACAGGATCTTGACTTGACAGGAGGTTCAAATATATTTTAAGCTTCCGTAAAACAGAGGGTCACTGTACAGTTTCTTTCAATATGTTTTCGAGCGAGGTTTGTAAGCATAGTTTTTTGATGGTGACTTTTCTGGATCTACATGATCTTGACTTGACAGAGGTTTAGATAAATTTCCAGCTTTCCCAAACAGAGGCCCACTGCACAGGATTGAGTATTCCAAAGTGCTTTGACATCTGGACCAACTTGTTGGATCTTTTTCGCCTTTCCGGTGGAATATACAACTATTTAGTGCATCGGCCATCAAAAAGCAATGTTTATACAAACAGAGTCACATGACACCACCACAACAGCCTTGCATTGATCGTTGATGCAAACCAAGTAGCTGCAGCTTGGTGTTCATTTTGAAAAAGTTGCGCGGGATTTCTGCAACGCACGGAAAGCATGGTCAATTGGCTGTGTTCAGACTTGCATAGCTGGTACAATGCTGTTGGATTTCTAATCAACTCAGTTCCTTCCACCAAAAGACACATTCACACCTGGGACTGCTCCGTTTGCAAGGCCAAGCTCCACCAATTCCTGAGAAAGGGCACCAGACATTATGCGGCCGTCACAATCCTGTAACATATAATCCAATCTAAACAGGACCATCACTTTTCTTCTCATTTCTCTTCCAGCGCTTTAGATACTTAGTAGCAATTGAACGCGAGGAGATACGGCCTTAAAAACTGCGCGGGCATCCACAGAACTTTCATAGGCATGTGCCCTAATCCAAAACTATTCTCAATGGACCACTTCCATTGCTATCCTCTCAGTCAATGAGCCTTTCTACTTCACAGCCCGCGCTGTCGTCTCCGCAAAACAAGACCATTGGATATCGGTGGACCGAATCTATAATTTGAGGCAAGACTGCGCATCTTGTTTCAGCAAGGCTCTGTAAGCGGATACAAGATGTCGTCATCGATTTGGCTCAAATTCCAGTTGCCATCCAAAAGCAAAGAGACGAGCGAGTCGAGTTTGTTGAAAGCCCCAGACTGGCCAAGGACCGATATGAAGTGGTAGACCCCCAATCTTGTGGATTCAAAGGAAGTGGAAAAACATGTGGAACCATTTGTGAAACATCAAATGCTAATTTTTTCCTTGAAATGGCCCGAATGGGTCCGTCTCAGGTCGATGGTCGGGCTAA